GCATCGGTAGGTTGGTAATCGGTCGGTGCGCGACCACATCGCCACACCCTATGCGCCGGCAGCTGCCTTGTCTGAGGCACGGCACCGTTCCTGTTTCCTTGGGCCCTTTCGGTGCAGCGCAGGATCGGCGAGTGTTGCTTGCGCCGGTGGTGTCCACGGTCGAGGACTACTGATGCCCCGCAAGCGCAAGCACTGGAACATGCGAATGTAGCTTGCAACATCCCGCAGCGTCTTCAAGGAGTTCGAAGTCCAAGGCTCCGGGGAGACTTTCCGATCCAGCAGGGACAGGACAGGGCATGAAAACATGGAATGCAGCCAAGTGAGTCAAATTCAGTCGCGCCAAATCTCCTGAGATCTTGTTTTGAGATGTCATGCCAGTCAACAACATAAACTTGGCAATGATACTCCGAGCGGTGTTGTTCTGTTCCAGTGTGTCCTAGACATCCCCATGGTCGGGTTCAAGTTTTGGCCAAGGGCGCTTCCAACTTTGTCCATAGCCTCCAAGTCGTGCAGACTCTACAGTACAATTTTACTCCATGTGCTTCAGACCAGCTCGTTGCGAGTCTAGTCGGCAGCATGATCCTTGCAATTTTTCTTCGACAGGATGCCAACTCCCTATGTGAGCACCGACATGGTGGAGGATGACACATGCAGTCGGGCTGGGAGCGGTTGTTTTTACTTGTCTCCTTTTGAGGACACGCCTGCAGTTGCTGCGGCTAAGACGGTTCGGATACTTCGGGCAGCTGAGATCCAGGCTGGGACGCGAACGTCCGGTGACCTTTTCGATGAGACACCGATCCAGCCGAGATCCAGGCCATCCCTGCTGCCGGGCAGAGACGCTCGAGTCGAGATCGACAGGCGACACCGTTCGTCAAGGAGAACCCGCCATGGCCCGTTGTGCCTCGAGTCAGCGGACTGGAGTTGCAACCGTGTGCGCACGCAGGGCCAGACCGAAAGAGTAGGCTCCTGTCATGAACCGAAGCGCTCCGTAAGTGTGTCCGGCACATGACACATGAACGATCATGAACGCCAAGCAGCTGGTCATCACCGTGTTCAAATCTTTGCGGCCTTGAATCTCCTCGACATATCCTTTTGCCGGCGAGGAGGATGTACCTGACGACATGCGGACGGTCCAATTCAGCAACGTGGTCAATACTGAGGCCGTCCGCCGGTTTCTGCTATCGATAGGACTCAAAATGACGCAAGCAGGAGCGACGCGGTGTTGTATACGTCTACAACGCTTAGCTGCGTAACTTGCATGCTCACTCAGCACTGCATCTTTGTCCCTGCTTCCAGGTGCAGCCCATGTCACAAGTGGTGCGGGCTAGTTTACATGCTCTGGGAAGCGGCTTATGTGGAGCCTCGCCTTTGTAGAGTACTCACATGTACGCACAAACTACATATACAAGTGGCGCTGTTTCAAAGTGGTACATGGATGAACGCAGCCCATGTGTGTCCATGTCCAACAAGGCATCACGAAAATGCGTGCATGCAGTTTGCACGGTCATTCGCCCCTCTAATCGTACATATGCAGTGCCATGCCGAGCTCACACTGGATGTTGAAATTTACAAATCAAGTGCAGAGTGCAGTTGAACCACATCGGGCGCACACTTCCCCTGTTTCTGAGCCAATCAGAATAACCATTCTGTCTTGTGCTCGACTCAAGCGACGCTGGGCATCTTTGCCAGGATGACGCGAGGTCGACTCGCGACAGAGTTGCCACACCGTTTGCACAACCTGCAGAGGAGGCTGCCCATCAGGCAGGGAAAAACAGTGGACTCTGTGTTATGCCACATCCTCTCGAAGAGTTCCTGATGCTGCATAAGGCCCGCAGGGTAGCGCTCGCACCGGTCTTGTCCGTGGTTGAGGCACGGGCTGTTCACATTTCGCAGTAGCAGTAGCAGCAGGAACAGTAGCAGCACTAGCAATAGCAGCACTAGCGGCAGTCGCACCGGTACTAATGGTACAGTAGTTGTCGTGGTGGTGGTGGTGGTGGTGGTGGTGGCAGTAGCACTAGTGGCAGTAGTAGTGGTGGTAGTAGTAGTAGTAGTAGAAGTAGAAGTAGAAGTAGAAGTAGAAGTAGAAGTAGAAGTAGAAGTAGAAGTAGAAGGAGTAGGAGCAGGAGCAGCAGGAGCAGCAGCAGCAGCAGGAGGAGCAGGAGGAGGAAGAGGAGGAGGAGTAGTAGTAGTAGCAATAGCGCTAGCACTAGCAGTAGCACTAGCAGCAGCAGTGGCGTAGCAGTCGCAGTGGCAGTCGCAGTCGCAGTGGCAGTGGCAGTGGCAGTGGCAGTGGCAGTGGCAGTGGCAGTGCAGTAGCAGTAGCAGTAGCGGGAGCAGCAGCAACAGCAGCGGCAGCAGCAGAAGCACTACCGGCCGTCGTCGTGGTGTAGCAGTAGCATGAGCTGTAGCAGTGGCTGTAGCAGCAGCAGCAGCAGCAGCAGGAGGAGCAAAAGGAGCAGCAGGAGCAGTAGTAGTAGTAGTAGTAGTAGGAGTAGGAGTAGGAGTAGGAGTAGGAGTAGGAGTAGGAGTAGGAGTAGGAGTAGGAGTAGGAGCAGTAGTAGTCGTGGTGGTGGTTGTGGTGGTGGTGGTGATAGCAGTAGCTGTGGGTGGCCCGAGCTGTCTCATTGTGAGAGTGGTGTTTTTTTTGCCCGCAGCAGGAGTTCGAAACAGACGGCTCAGTCACAGTTTTCCGGCCGAGCCGAGACAGGACACGGCCGTGCTTAAATCCGAACGTGCTGGTTGTTGGGATCTGTTCTTTCGTCCGAGGATGCCTACTCCGTACATGAGTGCGCAGCTCGTGGAAGAGGCTTGAGTGCTCTTGTCCGAAGAAGCGCCCAATCCGAAACATGAAAATCGGGCACTGCTCCAGGATGCCGTCGTCAATGCAGGTAAGACCGTTCGGGTATTGCCTTTCGCCGACGCAAAGGCCAGGTTCATTGAAGAGGATGGGCTGGCGAACTGAGTCGTCGTTGCAGGCCATTCCCATTTCCGGCCATTGCCGCTCCAGCCGAGAACGTCAGGCAACTCCTTTCTTCAAGGACTTCTTCAGAGATGTCAAGCCTCCTAAAAGCTTTGGCAACGCAGTCAACAGAGTTATCTTGTTTGATGATGCAGCCCCAGACCTAACAAAGAAGCTGGTTGTGCTCCGGGGACCCAGCATCTGCAAGACAACATATGGGCAAGCTTCTTTTCTGGTCCGTCTTCGCTTCATTGCTCAAGCTGCGTCGCTGTTTGCAAAATCGCATCACGGGCGCATGCCATTCGGGGTGACGCGTCTCTGTTCCCTTTGCTAGATGTGCAGGTTTTGCAGCTTCATGAGAGATGTCCAGCTTACAAAGAGCAACACAAACTTGTTGCGCAGTGACTCGATATCACTGCAAGGCCTATACTAGCCTATACGATTAGCAGACGTGACTGGCAAAAGCTTGCGCAACTCCGGTCTCGGCACACAGCGCCGTACACATTTTACATGCACATGGTACGTGAAGCTTTACAAACTGGCGTTGACATTTTGCAAAGCGCATACCACCAGGTCAACCATGGCACCGCCGCACCGAAGCTCTAGCTGCCATTCAGCTGGCATGTTGATTGTAGCCCGGCTGTGGGTTACGAGGAAGACCAGAAGCTGCACAATGAACGGCTGCAAAGGGGTTTACGTACTTTTGGGCATGCTCAAGCCTTGGCCAAGACTGGATCGCACGTCGATGCGTGGAACACAACGGGAGTTAGCTTAATTTCGGCGAGAGGAGTGACAAATTGCTGACTGGATGTTGCTTTCTCGTACGGCGGGAATTGACACCACTGCACGTCCAGCGATGTGGCCCAAACACAGTTCTCGCATGGCAGCCACGGTGAGGTTTGACATCCAGGGGCACAGCGGTCACGATGACTCATGTCCCGAAGAGTAGGACGAGTCGGTGGCGGAGAGGACCGTGCAGTTCAACGAAATGATCAGCACTGAGGCTTCTGGGCTCTTCTGATTCTGCAGCACTGTGATGTTTTTTCTGCCCGAGGCGTGGAAACAATCCCGGTTTCGCAAATTTGTCGTGCAAATCTTGCTTTCTCGTCTAAAGTCGTAGATTTCCGACTCTGTCTGAAACAGATCATCAGTCCGTTAATGTAAAAATCGAAGATGTGCATCTTGCTGTTCCGTCTTGAATCATTGAAGGCGAGTGTAATCGCGGAGGGGTGCGAAGAGGTGCCGGCTCGTTTCTGCTTGACACTGCTGGCCTTTCTTGTTATACACTCAAGGTTGGACGACGGTCGGTGCATGACCGCATCGCAACTCCATATGCTGGAAACGTTGATCTCGAGGTGGGATGTTGCCGTGCGCTACCGGCATAAAGGGATGCATGACTGGCTTCTGTCGGTCACAGTACGAAGGAGAGCCGCGTGGTCGTGCCATTGGATACCTCCGTCGAGGACGGGCGGCGCAGCTGATGCATGCTGTATCAGCACTTTTTGGGCATGCCATGGCAATGAAGGCTTGTGCGCGATGTACTGGGATAATTTCAAGCCTGCAGAGTCCACAAAGAATTGCCTTGTCGGCTGCAAGTCGAGAGCCTGCAGAGTGGGAGGAGTTCGAGGTGGAAGGCCTCGAAGTTCAGCTGCGTTCAAGCCGAGACAGGACAGAGATAGCTTCTGTACGCTTCGTCTGTCAGTCCGGCCCAGAACTCGGTCCACCCAGATCCTTGCAGAACACCCAGTCTAATTCACAATCACCACAAGTAGATGTGTGGAGCGAGATGCATGTTTCGAATTTTAGTGGAAGCTTTGCGGTTCTACCTGCATGTCTTTGCAGGATCCCCACCCCCCATGTGAGCACCGAAATGTTGGAGGACCGGAGCATCATGTAAGCTGTTTTCGGCTTTCAGAGTGCATGAAGATGAAAAATTGTGCAGCATGCCTGCATGAAGTCTGCATGAATGCTAGAATCGCAGGAGGCTTTCCCCAATTCCGGCAAATCCGTTCGCATCTTTCCTGTTGCTGAGATGCAGGAGCAGACCTTAGCCGGACTTGGAAGACTAATGCAGAGAACATTGAATCATGACAACATCATGCATGTGGAGGCCATTGCGACCTCTGGGCACAGACGGTCCAGTCGAGAACGTCAAGCGACGCCGTTCTTCAAAGACCAGGACGTGTGGATATCCTGCTTGAGTTACAAGGTTGGAGGGGGCTTCTGGGGTGTATCAGCATCGCATGTCTACCCCAGGACTTCGATGTGCATGACGGTGGGCGGAGTGTAAACTTCGACGACACGATCAGCACAGAGGCGTGCCGGTTTGAGCAGTTGATGCGTTCCCACACTGTAGAAGCCAGTCCGTGGCTCAGTCGAATGCAGCTCGCAAGCCTCCCTTCCCCAAATTCTGGCAGTGTCCCGGGTTGCGGATGGTTGTTCGTTCGCTGTTGGAATCTTCGAGCACCACACTCCGAACCAGAAAAGTGGTGCTACCAGTAGCCCGATTTGACGATGCGCATCCGTGGATTTGAAGCTGCGAGCCGACAGGATAAGCGAAACTACAGTAGTGTGAAGATTTTCTGCCGCTTGGCCGCTATGTATTCGGCATCTACAGGCCGTCTTGGTCCAGCCGCAGGCCTGCCAAAACTGTGCCCACGCCATGCGAATGACGTTGAAGATATTGCGGATGTTTCTCGCCAGGCCGGCAGGCGGCCGGTACGTGACCGCATTTCAACACCCTTCACCTCGATGGCTTTCAGCTCTTTCCAGGTTCGCAAAGTCTCAGGCTTTGCACTTGGGGGACCATTCTCTGGGCGCAGGATCGTCGAGTGCAGCTTTCTCCAGCTCCTACAGCTGTCGAGGACGGCATCACTGCATGCTGAGGGTGCCTGGCAACAGCATATTTCTTCCGCAAGATTCGGCAGACCTGAGTGCTGACCAGTCGGTCGCAGACGGAGCTACGTGTCGCTCTCAGCCTATGTGCAGGAGTTCGAGCCAGCTTCCCAAAAGCTCCGACCCAGCCGAGACAGGCAGGGCCACAGCCCCACAAAACCCCAAGAGCATCATCACAGCCAAAACAAAATGAATTCACTCACCTTTCTCCGTGTGCGCAGCAGCCGGCGACAGTGCCAGGATGCCAACACCCCATGTCAGCTCCAGCATGATCGAGGACTGGCGAGAACTACCCGGGAACATCTACAATGCCTGGAATACCCACCGCATCTCATCGCAACCGCTGGCAGAGAGGAGACGTTTGCGAACTTTTCGAAGACCGTTCGCGTGTTTCCGGCCGCGGAGACGGAGGCCATGCAAGTGCTGCCATGCACCTGCAGCAAATTATGATCGATATCTGCAAGCAGTGCGCAACAGTGTACATAAGCGCGCAGATGAGGAAGAGTCTACTCACTTCACGGCTCCGTTGCTAGGTCATACATCTCTCTGGGCAGAGACGGCCCGTTCGAGAACGTCAGGCCACCCCGTTCTTCAAGGAGACGCCCTAGCTTCACTGCATGTTGCCAGCTTTCTCGCTGTCTTAGCGCAGGAGGACAGCGACTTGAACTCGAAAGCAGTCCAGTTCAGCGACAAAGTCAGCTGGGAGACTCCAAGCAAGGCGGGCACCCTGGCACTGCACAGCCCCAACGTCGAAGGCTCTGTTAGAGCCATACTAGTAGCACGAGCTACAACCGACACGAGTACGGCCAATGGGATGCCTGTTCGCTTCTCCGTAGTTCCCTGCAGCTTCAACTCGAGGATCCATGAAGCAAACGGAATGGCAGTGGTGCAAGTCGATTGGAAGTGTCAGCATGTGAGTGAAGTTGAGACCCGATCTATCACATGAGCTTGAAGGAGGTATTAAACAAGAGGATAAGAGGCGAATATTATGGGTCCAGGCTCGTTTCCCCTCAAAACATCGCTCGGATAAGTTTCCAGGTCGTGAATGCCCCATAACAAGAAAGTATGCAACCAGTAAACTCGAAAAATCGATGTGCTCATTCGCTGGCTGGTGCAAGTCTTGCTCATCCCTTGAAAAGTTGTTGGTTGCTTGGGAAGGTCATTGCTGCTGCGCAGTCCAAGGCCTCGCTGGCCTGTCGGCAGGCAACGAATTGCCACGGTATTCAGAGTCGCCAGCAGGTCACAGAAGAGGCAACTGATAGTAACTCTATGTAACTCTAGTACTGATAGAAAGGTCCCATGGCAGTCATGACAGTGTCACTACGCTGGCGCCTAAAGTCCCTTGGATCTGCTCGGCACTGCCAGGTCGGTCGATCGGTCCGTGATCGAGTCGCGACCCCGTTTGCTGGCCAAGCACAGGAGTTCGAGGCAGCACATTGACGCTTTGCATGGGGGCATGCTGCGGTGTGGAGCAGGGTCCTCTCTGGATACGCTGCATCCCTGGCTTTCCTGCAGTGTCGACCACAGGACCATCGCGTGCTGCTCACATCGATCGTCTCCACAGTCGAGGATTTGTATTTGGAGAGTGACTGGACGGATCACAATCTCCAACGTGCGCCTGCGCGGGAGGAGTTCGAGGTGACATCCAACTTCCGTTCAAGCCGAGACAGGCGAAGCGGAGAAGAGCTGTGAGGTTGTGAGACGTTGTGAGCAAGAGCTTCAACTCGGCCCGGCCTGGGAGGATTCCGACACCTCACGTGACCTCGGAGATGCAGGTCGGAGTGGCACCTCCCCAGCCGCCCTCTGACTTTGCAGTTGGGAAGGAGGCCCTCAACATGAGCCCCGGGAAGACCGTCCGAGTCTCACCCGCAGTCGACGTCGAGGCACATGCGTCGCAACGAAGTGCAATCTGCAAGCGCCACAGAATCTGTGAACTGAGAGGCCATTCCCGCATCAGGAAAGACACGGTCAAGTCGAGACCGACAGGCAACCCCATTCCTCAAGGAGTGGAAGAGCATTGGCAAGTTCTGATTCTGGTCTTGGGGAAGCCCGAAAACTTGTCCCAAGCCGCTTTATTAACGGGATGCCTTGCTGTCGGCGCGAAGTCCGAAGGAGGATGTGGTGAATACAGTGGAGATGCAGAACGACACTTCGGGTCAGGAGGCCGAATCGGTGCGTGAACGACTCCTGCATCCACTGAAGTCCAGTGCTTCCGTCAGAATCTGGATCGACCGGATCGAACAATTGCACGATATGACTTAGAAGTATGCAGAACTGTAATGTAAAATGTTTCCTATTCATATCTATTCAGAATATTCATGTAATATGTCTGTATATATATATATATATGTACAAACATAGATCCAGCTCAGAGCTTTTGTGCACAGCGGAACTGATTGAATGCCCCAACAGGCTTGCCTCAAACCGTGGATTTACAACCAACCTCCAGCTGAGTCTCTCTTCACGGCACGGCTAGCACGCCCGCCTCCTCCATCGCGTTGTCGCGTTGTTTCCGAACGGTGTTTACATCAGTTCCTTAAGCCCTCATGACCTTGCTTGAGAGGCGACCCCTCAGCACACCTGCGCTTACCTTCGTCCTCATCTGTGGTCGCCCGGTGATGATTGTGATGCCCCCCTGTGATAAAGCCGGAACAGGCCGAAGCGGCAGGTGCTTTGGGCTTCATACCGTCATGATCGGCTTCCTCTTCGTCAACTTGTCCGGCATGTCATAGACGACATGAGCTGATTGAAAGCGTACAAACAGCATGGCAAGCTCGAGCTGCCCGACCGACAATTCAGCCGATCTCACCACTGGATGTGATGTTTCATTTTACGTCCTTTGCTCTCGTATAGCTTGTATGAACCCCAAGGGCCAAGGGCCCGAGGGGTTATGAACGATGTTTCATCAGCCACAGAGCGACCATGCCGTGATGTGGAATGGCAGCTTTCTCCCTCCAACAGCCACATCCACCATGGCCGCTTCGAGCTTTCCTTCGACACGCGGCCTGCGCAGCATCGCCAGTTCAACTCGAGATTCTCTCCCTGCTGGTCCGTTCGCGGTTTCCAGTGACGGGCCGTTCCCGAAAAGATTGCCAGCTTGCTTTTAGCAGCCCCCACGACTGGGCCACTGGGTGGTTGTTTCAGGCCTGAGCGCCCACTCAGCTGTTGTCGGCGGTGTGTGGAGTCGAGGACCACAGGGTCAAACACGAAACCACAGAACCATCGAAGCACCAGAACGATCTGTGTAAACAAGAAATGTCACCGAGCATGAAGCTGTCGGAATCCGCACACTCTCTCTCCCCCTGCCTCTCTCTCTGTGGCTTTGTCCCTCGCACTCATCCACCCGCACCCTGAAGTGCAGGAATACGCGAGAAATCACGGCAACCACCATCCAGGCTGTTCCAGAGCCTGCAGCTTGCAGCATGCCACTAACGCCCGCAATCAAGGCGTCCGCTATGTTGTTTCAGCCCCCATCCGTTTTACTCTTCACCATGGGTGTCTCCGCCTAGCTGTATGAGATACAAGGCCTCAACGGCAAGACCGTTTTCGATCTGTGGGACAGCATGACGAACCCTCTTTGCTTCAGGCTACTCTCCCCCGGTACATGGAACATGTTTCGGTCTCACAAGATTGTGTAAGCAATGTGGTCCAGGTCCCATCACTCCCATCACTGTGATTGTTGTTTGCATGATTTTGCATGCCTCCAGGCCGCCATAAGCTCAGGAATTGAGCATGAGATTTCCGTGCGCGTGAAGCTGAACGTTCCCGACTCAAAGCTTTCGCACTCGTAGCAAGGAATTTGATGCACGGTGCGAAGGCTCAGCGGCAAGCCAGAGAGGAGCGCCGAGTGCATGTGGGCACTGCAGATGCCAATGTTCGATCCTCAGGTCGCGTTGCACATCTCAATGCAGAGTCACGTGGACTTCTGTGGGCTTTTTGAGGTTCCCTTGGCTTTGGAAAGATGTTCTTCGGCAGACAGTGGCAATCCCGAAGCCGATCTGGCTCGTCACATCGAGCCTCGGACTGTAAACCATTGTACATCATTTTGTGTCAGGGCCCATGCTGAACGTGGCATACGTGTGCCAGCCCGAGGTTGCCAGAGCCGTTAAGGACACAGAGCTTCTCCGCAACACACTGCGCTCGACTCGCAGCATCTTTGACCACTGATCAAGACGTAGCAGCAACGATGGAAACTGGACATGTCCGGTTGCCTCGAGGCAACCTCGCATTCTTCGAGACCTTCGATGACGATTCTTTGCACTGCCTCATTGAGGATCGGTTTACTCGGACATGTAGATACTAAGGTTGCCCTGCTTTGCTCCGAGGCCATGGAAGTGTATGAGTTCCAGCCTGGTGAGAAGGTCGTGCGTCAGGGAGACACCGATGGTGCGCCAAAGCATTCCACGGCAGAAGAGATTCGCTGATCATTCCCTTGTCGGAGTCGGAGTGAATTATACCAGCTGGCCCCAAACAGTGAAAGAATCTAGTAGCAGTGGAAGCAAGCCCTCCATACTCACTAATGCTCCCAAGACTAAGACCACCCAATGAAGCCAACAGGTGCGCCATACTGGCAGTGGCAGGATGTGGCAGGAGCACGAATCCGACCGCAGAAGTTACGCGAAACCGAGGCGACACCACCATTTTGAGAAGTGCAAACCTCAATCGCAAGCAAAAACGTGCACTGTGCCGTCGCGGGACTCTGGCCCGCTGGCGGGAAAACAGGCGGCCAAATGGTAGCCCTTGCAATGCGTCGAGCGTCTCCAGAGGAACCGCCACATGGGCGCCGGTCGTGACCATGTGAGCCAACTCCTTTTTGCATCTTTTTACCCCTACCGAAAGAACCTCTTACAGCATATAGTGTGAGATTGTTTGAGAATAGAAAACAAAGGTAGCTTCTATTGGGCCATCCTGGATCTCAGCCTGTGTTTCGAAGAGTTGTCGCAGGTTCCGGCTAGGATCGACTTCTCCTTCATTCTCAATCAATTCCTAAACTCTACAACTATAGAACGCCGGATGGTTTCTAGCAGGCTTGCAAGGCTATGGGAACCAGGCAAAAATCTGCCGCGACCAGGCTGGGGGTCACCCTCGAAATCGTCCCACTCAACCCTCCCACTCGGTGGGTTGCAAATTTATCCTACTTTTCTTCATCCTGCAGCAAAGTGCACGAAAGGTACGCACTTCTTCGTGGTCGCGCACGGGGAGTTCTGTATAGTAAGGGACAACTGCAAACGCTGCTACATCGGGCTAGAAGCCAAGGCTGAGCAGCATGTCTGCAGTGCTGCGTGAAGTTTTGGAGCAAGGCCCGGATCTTCATTCGGCGAAAGCGTTTTGTTGCTCCATGGCGAACGGAGTGCCACTGCTCCGACCTCAACCCTGCAAGTCCAAGCTCCCCCCGCATTTTCCCTGCCGTCAAGGTCTGTTCCCAAGGATGTGCAGAGCCTAGACTCTGTGGAATGCATTGGCTGCAGCGTTTGTCAACCCCTCTTGTCATTGTCGTGCCTGCAAATGATGTTTCCTGCGTTGCCAAAGGCTCAGCAAAGCCTACCTAAGCCTCTACGTGCAGGTTCTCGTGCCTATGGCATGGCAGGCATGCAAGACCCGGGCTGAGAGAGACGGATGTGAGAGCTCCCTGCTGCTACAATTCTGCACAAGCACGTTGCGAAGCGATGGAATTCTGAGGTACGCGAGCTACTTCGGCAGCAGTATGAACACATGCGGCAAAGTGTCGTCGAAGCAGTGGATGAGGCTGAGCTCTGCACCTCCTTCAGGCTTCTAGACTCTAGAGTCACTGGAGCTGGGAGGTGCTCAAGTCGAATCAGTGCGAGATCTTGCGAGGGGCTCTGCAGCGAAAGGACAAGCGCAGACACCTCGAGCTGTTATTTGGATCCTGCTCAGGTCTGGCCTGAACGGATACCAGCTTCAAAGCCTTTATGATCAGGCGCAGCCACCGCTTGCGTGCCAGCAAGATGTAGCCTCGAATCTACAGTCTACAAGCGCTTTCAATTGTTGAAAAGCGATCGGTATCCTCATTGAGGTCGAGATGAAATCATTCAAACCGGGGGAGCTAGTTCTCGAGGAAGGCGACTTGCCAAACGAGGCCACAAGCATAGAATGTTGCTTTGTTCACCCGAGTTGCTGGCTTGTCCTGGTCCCTGCAAGGTTTTCATCCTTTTTAGTGGAGAAGTAGACTCTACGCGTGGCCCACAGTGGCAGGATCCGGCATCAGCAGACAGGCATTCGATATCATCTGTCCGACGCACGCGGTTCGCAAGGTCAGGAGGACAGAAGATGGGCAAAGTTCCTAGGCCAGGCTATGCCATGGGCCACAACTACAACATAATGTCCAGCTTCTTGACCTATGTGCACTTAAGCTCGCCGTTGCTCCATGTAGTTTCCAGGTTCTACTTGATGGGAGACGGGGCACTTTTGTTCGAGGACGGGCGTGAGGCTACATGGCTTGGTGCAGGGATATGGCAGACTCTGCATTGGTCCAACGACTGTAACTTTGGTATGCTCTAGCGACACTCCGTGTTCGTGCTGCCAGTGGCAATAATTTCTTGCTTGCTGCGATCTTGCGCATGAGATGTCTCTTCGCACCTTCGGCTTCAAATCTCAAGCATGAATGAACTCGGTGTTGCATGTTGTCACGGTCACTCTTCCTTCGTTAAATCGCACCCACAGGGTATAATTTGTGCAGCGACTCTGTAAAAAGGCTCGCACGATTTTTTTCGGAACAGTGTTGAAGTGTGGGCTTTCGAGATTCGTCTGAGATGCAAGAGTTGATCCTGCGGAGATCGCGTTTATGCTCGTAAGCTCGCGCAACTGGACATCCGTAGGACACGGACTCTTGTTGGCTGTGTTGACATATTAACCTTGATTCGGACGTTCAGCCCCACAGGATGGACTGGCTTTTGAGCAGCCGACGAGCTTGACTGCAGCCACAGCTGTTGAGCCTGGGGCTGAGCTCAGTCTTTTCCGCTGCCATCAAACTGCCGTAGCAGGGTCTGCGGCTAGATCTGCGTAGACTTGCAGCATGGGACTTCGTCATTGGAGCTCTGGTACCATGAGTTTGATCTTGTTGGCATCAGTGCGCGCAGTTTCCAAGCTTCGCACCTTCGACGCGGCTTTTGCAGTCCCGAGGGTGCTGGTGCTGAAGCGAAGCCTACTGGACTCCCTCTTTGGCAGCAGGTTGCAACAGGCGGACGGCAGCGTTCAAGCAAACATCGAGGGCTCTCGCACTCTCTGCCCTCTCTCTCTCTCTCCCTCTCTTTTTTTTTTCTCTCTCTCTCTCTCTCTCACTCAGTCTCTCT